CAATCTGGGAGAGTTTGCAAGTCGTAATGAGCTTCGAAATAGAACGACAGGTCTCCCATGAAGTCAATTTTCAACTGTTTGCCAAGAGCTTTCTCGAACCAAGTCTCCGTTGCTTCGTTGGTACCCCAATAGAGGCAATCATCAATGTAGGTTCCGAAAGTCATGTTGCCACCAGAGGGAGATTTCCCAACGAAGACGCATGGGTCATGTTTGCATACCTCCATTTCGAGAGAAGCAAGTACCTTGCAGAACGTTTGGTACCAGTGACGAGGGCTACTGTGTAATCCGTACGATGTTTTCTTAAGGCGCCAGTATGAACCTGGCTTGGAGTACCGACAACCCTTGGGAGGGATACAGACACAGATTTCTTCACCTTTGGGTAGTACCGGTATGGGACGGCCGAAGGTGTTCTTGGCATTCCACTGTTTGATTCGTCGTCCCTTGGATATGGCTAAAGATATGATATTATGGCCCGGACTCTGTGTTTCATAATGGTGTAGCACACTCTTAAGGAACTGGCTAGTGTGACTCATGAGCGACAAGGGGTCTCCAGAGTGGCTTGTCACTCGTTGCCTCATCCTTTGCAATCAGTAGCTCTAGCTAAGCTAGGAAATCAGCTATAGTATATCCAGAGGAGCCAAATCTATTATGTCGTCCGTGGGGGGCACAAACTAGCTAGACGATGTTCCAGGCATCAAGAAAATCGTTACCCTGCAATTTTGTTTGGGTGTGTGCTTCACTTCTGGCTGCTTGCAATCCAGGTCCTCCTGAGTGTTTCTCTTACAACTATTGTGGTGGTCTGAGAGCATCATCTGCGGCTACGGGTACGGTGGCAGCTAGCCAAAGTAGGCTCGAGCTACGACTAGCTAGCTAGAGCCAGCTGGCTGAATTTGGGCATAGGTAGGGTACATGTACGGATACCATGTACGGGTACCGGTATTGTACGGTGCTCCCTTTGCCGAAATTTAGAGCGAACTTTGATTGTCGACCACGGTCACGTTGTCACGTTGTGGGTCTTGTTTTGGCCGTCACCAGCGTGAGAAATTTTGCCGTGTCTGCTTTTTTTCAATTTTGGGGGGGTTCAGAGTAGGGAAGTTATCTACGGAAGCCAGTTGAAATGCCTTCAACAAATGAGATCTGATGCACCTCGTACCGAACCTTTCGTCAAAGCAGACCCAGGAAAAAGATGAGATAAAAAGATTCTGTTTAGCTAGGTCGTGCTGAAGTAGATCCAATCATTCGCTGGCTAGTGTACCATAGGTCAAGAGTTGAATCGAATCAGATAGATTGTACCAGTTTCATAATTCAGAAAAGAAGAAGAAACAACAACGGCTGAGAATAATGCAGAGCGCAACGACAACCGCGACGACCATTCGTCCCAAGGCATCGCCTTCTTCTTGGGAAAGCACCAACTCAAAAGAAAAGGCTCCAAGCCTGACGCTGAAGGATACAAAGGTCGCAAATGATGAGGCAACTCCTCCTACTAAGGTCACTACATCCGGCAAGACGGGAGGTTTCTACGATCAGCAGACTCTATGGGAACAAGAACTCCACCGCTATCATCCCTCCTTTTGGACATTGGTACGAGTGATAAGTCTCATTGGGTTTCCCTACTTGATGAGTGCCATTGGATCCTTCTTTTGGCCTCTGGTTGTGGAATTTGCCGAAGCCAACGGACTGAAAGTGGCCCGGGTAGCTCAGGCAGCCATTGCTTTGGTCGGCGGGTCCGCGTTTGTCGCACACAATGCATTCTTTGCGGCCATCTACTACTTTAACATTCCATCCTTTGACCAATATCGAGTGGATGACAAGCCGTGGCATTGGGATATGCTAGGTGTCAGTGGATGGCGAGAAATGCTACGCAACACCATCCTACAGATCCTGTTTAATTTTATCGCTGTCAACGCTCCCGTCATGTACTTGATCTCACGCCGCTGGGGTGGACTCCCCTTTCGCATGGACGCCACCAGCATTCCATCGGGCGGAGAAATCTTTTGGCAACTGTTGTTTTGCACCGTCATAGAAGACTTTTGCTTTCACCATTCCCATCAACTGTTACACACCAAACAACTCTACTGGATTCACAAGGTGCATCATCGATACCACGCTCCCATTTCCATTGCGGCCGTATATGCCCACCCCCTTGAAACGGTCTTTGGCAATATCTTTCCCTTTGTCTCGGGTCCCTTTTTGCTGCAGTATCGCATGCACGGATGGGCCTTTTGCATTTGGGGCATTTTTCGACTGGCGGCATCTCTGGAAAATCATTCGGGCTATGAGTTCCCGTGGTCCATGTTCCAGGCCATTCCCTTCAAGGCACCCACCGAATATCACGACTTTCATCACAATCGCAATCAAGGAACGTATTCCGGCGTGCTTCGATTCTGGGATTGTGTGTATGGTACCAATAAGCACTATTTTGAATGGGTCCGTGCCGGACGTCCGGATACATTCAAGACCCAAAAGTTCAAGGAACAAAAGCAAAAGTAAAGTAACAATCTTCATTACAGTACGTAGTACCGGTACCTATAGATACCTATCATATGCATAGATACCGGTAGATTGGGCCACTCCGTCAAAGATGCCCGATGTAACACAAACTCTTTTTTGCAATGGCAAGCATGATGAGGCCAGTCCAATAAAACAAAATATTTCTTTAGAGACAAACATCTACAAAGTATGATCTGCTCAATACCTAGCTCTTTCAGAGCACTCTGCCATGTTGTCCCTTCGGGTTGATCAGGACGCCCGCATCGGAGCTTGGCCAGTTAGCGTTAGAGATAGTGGAGCCAACCAACGAAAAACTTTTTGACGGAAGCTTTGATTGCGAATTCAGGTTCATCCGGAACAGATGACCGAAATCGAATCTTTTGTTGGAAGCAACGACGTGTACGAAGAGGAGATTGCAACCACATCAAGATCGGAGTAGGCTGTTGTTGTCTTCGATTGTGACACCTTGGTTTGCACTTTCAGGCAAGAGATCCTACTAGCTAGTAGCCAACTTGTACCTTGCGCTCACAAAAAACAAAAGATCCACTCTGCTTGCTACCCGAATTAGAAGTAACCATGGATGATACCCTTGCTCCTCTTCCGTCTTCCCAGCCAAAGAAGAAACAACCAAATGCCGCTCACCTAAAGACGTACACAGCCGGTGAAGATGAGGGTCGATTGGCGGAAATGGCAAAAGAATTTGGCCTGGCACACCAGCGCCAACCCAAAAAACAGGTCCGTGACGAAACCAAGCGTGGTCATCATCGACGAGGAAGCAGCGGTTTGGACATGTTGTTGGGCGAAACTGGCAAAAAATGGGTCAATATCTTGGTACAGGACAGTTCCGTGGAAGTGGCTCGCATGAGAGCTGTCTATTCCTTGGGATATCCGCGGCGAGCAGGATCTTTTTCCGAATATGGAGCCACGTCCAGTGATCGATCTATCCCCAGCAGTCATCGTCGCCGTGGAAGTCTCATGCCAGAATGGTTGGAACAAATCGAATACGAAGAAGAAGATTTGCATGCCCATGGTGTGGGAGGAGACTTGACCAGTGCAGTTTTGGGTATTGTCAAGGGTATGGTTGGCCCAGGTAAGCGACGGAAACTATTTTATACAGTGTCACACCCATCGTGATCGCAGTTTGCCATGTCACTCAAGCAATGTTGCTTCCTGCTTCTCTCCCTGGCAGCCATTCTCTATTTGCCTCATGGTTTGGCCAATGCAGGATATGCCGTTGCCTTTCCCATGATTCTTGTCACAACTTTGATGTTTCTCTACAGTTCACAGTGCTTGCTAGATTCCTGGAAAATGGAACATGAAAAAATGCATCGTCCCATTGCAACCAATAAAGGTGGAACTCCCACCATTGATGAAGAAGGAGGCGACGATGAGCAAGAGCATCTCTTAAACGACAACAAGAACAACAATGACGACGAGAATGGAGGCAAGCCTCGCTACAAAATGACATTCTTGTCCTACCCAGAACTAGCTTACAGGGCTCTGGGTGAAACGGGAGAACGAATTATCAAAATTGGCATTGGCTTGATGCAGAGTGGCGTGTGCCTGACGTATCTCATCTTTGTGCCACAAAATTTCAGCACGGCTCTCTTGCGGCTGGCCAACATTTATGTGGCCCCCGAATGGTTCTTGGTGGTCATGGTGGCCATCCAAGTGCCTCTCTCGTGGATACGCGACATTCGAAAGCTTACCGTTACCAACTTTTTGGCCAATGCGCTCATCTTGTACGGATTGATTACCTGTCTGGCATTGTCGTTGAAACAGGCCATGACGACCAACTTTGATGGCGCTCCCTTGGACCCAGAGACGAAAACCAGTCCCCTCAACCTCGTGGCAGAGCGGTTGTCACATTTGTCACCGTTTGCTCAGGGTTGGTTTCTCTTTATTGGAACAAGTGTAAGTTGGCTCGTTCATGCATGCATGCATGCTGTCACATCTCAAAAAGTACAGCACTAGCTCACCAGAACGATCTTGGTGCAACTCTGCAGGTACTTTTGTTTGAGGGATCCATCACTCTGTTGGTGCCTCTACAGGAAGCCGTCGTGTCCGACGAGGACAGACAACGATTCCCTTCAGTCTACCGAACTACAATCCTCTCGATCATTGTTTTTTACATTTTCTTTTCCATGACTTGCTGGACGTCGTTGGGAAATGATGTCCGGACTGTGCTGACCACTTCCCTCCCAGTCGGAAACGCCGCAACGTCGGTGCAACTCGCTTATTCCATTGCTGTCATCTTCACATTTCCCTTGCAGAACTTTCCGGCGTTGGAGATTACGTGCCGATCCATTGCCAATGCCATGGATTCCTGCACCGGATGTGGGGGTTGCCCCAGTCGGGTCCTGACCCAGCGCAATGTGATTAGTTCCCTTTTGGTGGGATTGCTGGCCATTATTGCTGTGACCGCCATGAATAGTTTGGACAAGGTTGTCAGTTTGATGGGAGGGTTGCTTGGGTGTCCCATTGCCTTTGTCTTTCCACCTATCATTCACTACCAGTTGGCCAAAGCTACGCCAGGTAAAGAACTCACACGCACCCGGATTTTCTTCAATGGCCTTGTCTGTTTGTTGGGAGTGGTTGCAACAGTGATTGCTACAAGTACAACCCTTTTGACTTGGGACTAATATTAGAGAAGTGATTGCAGTATATTGTGATTGACAATAGGTTTGAAATACAGTAGTACAACATCAACATCCATCGATGTTGGAGCAACCGGTAGCTAAACATGTGGCAGTATGGTGCCAGCCAGGTTAGCTAAAAGGAAAAGGAGCAACGGGGTCCTCAATCTGTCGCCCTTGATGCCACAGAACCAAGTCCTGAATCCAGCCTCTGCTTTGCCTAGCTGAGAGCCTACCCCTCACTCGACCACATCCGTAGATAGAGGTACCGACAGCTACCCCAATCAATGGACCGCGGGTTTGGAATTGATGTGTATTCGTGACTCAACACCTTGAAGAATCTTCAATCCATGCAACTTTTGGTGCCACCATGACACCATGACCTGAAGATCTGATCCAACTGAATTCGTCTTCGAGATTCCCTTGAAATATACCTGTGGCCCAAGCCCTAAGCGACGGCTGACCAACAGAGACCTTTCCCCCCTTCTGCAGTGTTTGTCACTTTTCAAATGTGGTGGATGCGTTTTTTCTTCGTAGCCTGCGTTTTCGGCTTCCAATTCTGTGAACGCGATCATGTCGCTTTGGCTTTTGTTGCAAGTCCCCTCGTGCAGCAAAACCGATGCCTGGTCACCCCTATAATGACGAAATGCAGTTCACAAGGATTCGATAGTCGACTTGATAGTGGGACCACAAGAGCGAGCTTTTGGCAAGCCGCTAGAAGACGCGGGAAAAGGGCTCTAATCTCCACATTGGCTCCATTGCAAATTGACAAACCGCTACGAAAGGGAGAAGATCCCAAGAGAGAAAAATCAAGCAGTCTCTTCAGAACCGACAAGAGCGCTACGATGCTGATGGGGTCCATTGGCTTTCTAGGCCACAGCGGCTTGCTGTTGGCATCCACTGTATTGGTTCTTCTCATCAAACAGCTCTTGGCAACCATTCAGCAGGCGCGAAAAGGAGAAGACTACGCCACAGACGAAAGTAATGGGGGAATGATGGATCGATGTCCCTGGCCCTTTATCTTTTCTCACGATCCAATCCAAGGGCTCAAAGATCCCCCTACCTGGATTGTCGTCACTTGGATTGCTTTGTGGAGGATCACGAAGATTGCTTCTCGCAAGTCCTTGACCAGCTAGCTGATGAATGATTTTATTCAGTGTGCTTTGATCGACACAGATGAAAACGAAACGAACGAATCTAGCTAGCTGCTACCGGTACCGGTACCGGTATCACAAGAGATTTCGCAGTACATATAATTGCTACGGAAAATGAAGAAGGGAGGATACCACAGTAGCGTATGGGAAGCGTCAATCAATGATTCCTTTCCTTTCACTGCAGATTGAATAGTAATAATAGGCACATACCAGAACCATGCGTCCCCGTACAATTCGTTTGCTTGCCTCGATGCCTTGATGCCTCGAAGGCTGTCCCGGACAGTCCCTCTCCGGCGGTGCTACTCGTCGTGCTTGCCGAATGCTGGTGTGTCCCACTACGGGTCTAGCTAGCCAGCGCTAGTACGGTATAACAACAGCCATGAGAGGGAACCGCTTTCAATTGGCTCCTGTTGGAATGACTGTTGGCTGCCCCTCTTGGGCAAGGTTTGGCCCTGGAGAAGGGCCGGATGAGAGTCTTGTGTTGGACCTAGATATTGACCAGGTAACAACGGGTATCCAAACCAGGAGTATGTCCAGGAGAGCTTGTATGTTGACCCCACTGTCAGCCTACTACTAGTAGCTAGGATATAGATATATTTGTAGATGGGGACAAAGGAACTACCGGTATGGTACCGGTAGCTCTGGGAGTCCAGGAAGGCTTTGGGCTTTGGAGTCGCAGCGTGGAGCGTGGAGGTGTGAGCGAGGCCAGTACCAGAGTAGTGCCAGAGTAATAGTGTTTATGCTATGAGTTCAGGGTTCAGGGTTCGAGGTGGACCAATTGATTTAAAGACAGAAACACTTTCTAATCATTTATAAACAAATACTAGTACTCTTACTTACTACTACTAGACTATGCATAGTAGAGTAAACCGACACATACAACTACTAGTACTCCAGTACTTTAGTATTATAGTGAGAGAGAGCCTTTAAGTATTTGGTAAACTTATCGAGTACCGGGGAGTATCTACAGCACAGCTTCAGTGCTTCCCCTTGTGAAAACTTATGTTCCCAATCGTGACATCGTGACCCGTGACCAGTGACCCACGGCAGAAGCCTCTTGGGTTGATCTAAAGCGTCTTGCTTGCAGCACAACAGCAGAATGGCAGTGCGGTAAGAAGATTTGGATCAAGACTAAGTGGAAAGAGGTCAACATGTCTCTACTCGACTACTAGCTAGTACTCAACAGAACAAGCCGACTCATGATGCATAGACGATCGAAAAGTCGTGGCAGTAGAACATGAACAACAACACTACTGGATCCGCCCAGGGAGATGGATCAATGCATCTCTCGAAAAGAGAAATCAGATGGGCCCTTGCCATCAAGGCTGCTGTGGTGGACTCGAACAAGGCGAAGCAAGAGGAGGGAGAAGACGAGCTGATTGAACTGACAGACTTTGAGTACTGTCAATATGCCCTTGTTACGAAAGGGGATGTAGAAGATGCACTGGAACGGATAGAGAAGATGCAGGCCTTTCGGGAAGAGTACCAGATTCACGATACCGCGGAAGAAGGAATGGAGATACTGCGGGCATTTACCATTCAGCAACCCTGGTTCATGGTGTCTGTGGACTACAATCCCACGAACGGACATTTTATCGCTGTGTATGATTATGCCAAGCTCAAGCCTGCTGCTGTTGATTACCCAGAAGATTGGAGAATATGGCTGGGTGGTCTGTATTACCTCTTTCAGATATGCCAGAGTAACCTGGTAGCTTGCCGAGAAGGATTAGTGCACATTGCAGAGTGTGAAGGTGGGTAGTATGAAGTATGACTGAAGACACCATGAGGGTGTCCCGAGCGTTTGATCCCTCACTTCTGCTACCCCTTTCAACATTGAATCTTGAAAGGAATGTGGTACAACAACTTCAGCATGGATTTCATGAGCCGTAATTGGTATCATCTTATGGGACATTACCCTCTTATCAACAAGGAATGCTCCTGGCTGCATACACCATTAGTGGGCAACATCCAACATGCATTTTACAAATCGATGATGGGGAGCACCGCAGATGTTATTCGAGTGGGATGCCACTTTAGTGGATATGGTAAGCAGTCATCCCTGCCTTATACCATACTGTGACATTCCAATGAGGCCAATTGTGGACTAAACTTTGTTCTCGTACCCTCCTGCTGTGCTACCAGATGGACGCATTGATCAAATGTTCAAAATGCCATCGGAAGATATTGCAGAATTTAGGTTGATGGGGCGATATTTGGATTACCTCGATGTCCGATATCACCACCAGAGTGTGTTCCGGCTTCCATCCCTGGATCCTCCTCCTCCTCCTACCATTCCTCCTCCCCGAGCAAACAACGAGAATGACAATAATCAGGAGGACGATGTGGCATAGTGGTGGAAATGTTGTCAAGTATTGCCTCCAGGTTTTTGACTGCACTCCTTCATTAGTGGGATCGAGTCGTGTCTGGACATCCTGCTTTGGAGAGAAAATTTTCTCATTAGTTTGAACCTTGGCTGTCATGGTTTCTTTGTGGTGTTGCCAAAGGTTATCCGTAGTATACCCTTAGGAATCCAATGTCCTTGCATACAGTAGACCGTGTTGCCGATGGAGCCATTGATTGATCATTCGATTCGATTTGATTCGATTCGATTCAATTCGACTCGATTCGATTCGATTCGATTCGACCCGATTGATCATTCGATTGGTCCTTCTTCGTCTTGCAGAGCTACTAGTCTAGCTAGCTAGTACATCCATGTAATGCTAATCGGCAATCACGAAGCAAACAATCTTAAAATCACGAAGCAAACAATGAAAACAAATCGTGACACATGGCATCGTGATCAGAAATCCTCAAAGAAAAGCCTAGCTAGTTGGGTTATCGTACGCGCGAATTGGTCGGAGAACCCAAGATTTGAATAATTAAATAGTGAGACATGGATATATATTTTCTCTTTAAGTCTCACAATGTCTCATGCATAGAGCTCATTGTCTCACGAATTCTCACAATGTCTCATTTTCGAGATTTTTCTGTCTCACTGTCTCATTTATTTAGAAAGGAACTGTCCGCTCGCACTAAGTCGAATATTATCTCGTAATGTCTCACAATGTCTGACATCTATGTCTCAATGTCTCACAATGTCTTACAATGTCTCATTAATAAAAATCAAACCATTTCCTAATTCTTTCATGTCTCAAGAACCCTGGCATTCCAAAAAGGGACTTTTTCGTGCATAACCCAGTCCTAGTAGACTGACCGCGCAACAACCCACTAACTCACTTTTCTAAAAAGAGGTTCAATGTTCAAGGGCTTTCATAAGGTTTTTCGCGTTGTTGGTTTTGCTTTCCATCCATCTTCACACCATCTACTGCCAAAGCAACACGAGGAGATCTGATCTAAGTACACAAGATGAACAACAACACTAATAGTAGATCTGCCGAGGGAGACGCATCTATGCGTCTCTCGACTAGAGAAGTTAGGCGGGCACTTGCCATCAAGGCTGCCATCGTGGACTCCAACAAAGAACGACGAGAGCAGGGAGAAGACGAGCTGATCGAACTGACGGACTTTGAGTACGCTCAGTATGCCCTGCTTACGAAAGGCAATGTAGAAGATGCACTGGAACGGATAGAGAAGATGCAGGCCTTTCGGGAAGAGTACCGGATTCAGGATACCGTGGAAGAAGGAATGGAGATAATGCAGGCACTTACCATTCAGCAACCCTGGTTCGTGGTGTCTGTCGACTACAATCCCACGCACGGACACTTTGTCTTTGTGTATGATTATTCCAAGCTCAAGCCGGCCGCTGTTGATTACCCAGAAGATTGGAGAATATTTCTGGGTGGTATGTATTATATATATCAGCTGGGCCTGAGTAACCTGTTAGCTTGCCGAGAAGGATTAGTGCACATTGCGGAGTGTCAAGGTAGGTAGTATGAATGAAGACACATTGAGTGGTCTCCAAGTGTTTAATCCCTTACTTTCTTCTACGCCTTTCAACATTACATTTCGAGAAGGAATGGGGTATAGCAACTTCAGCATGGATTTCTTGAACCGATGTTGGCATCATCTTCTGGCACACTACCCATATACCACTAAGGAGTGTTCCTGGCTCCATACACCATTAGTGGCCAACATCCAATATGCGTTTTACAAATCAGTAATGGGGCACAAGGCTGATATTATTCGAGTGGGATGTAACTTTGGAGGATATGGTAAGCTCCCATCATTTCTGTGACATTCCAATGAGGCCAAATTGTGGACTACAACTCATTCTCGTCCCCTCTCTGCTGCTATATGTACCAGATGGGCAAATTGATGAAATGTTCAAACTGCCATCGGAAGATATTGCAGAATTTAGGTTGATGGGGCGCTACTTGGCATACCTCAATCTCCGATATCAAAACCAAAGTGTGTTCCGACTTCCATCCCAGGATCCCCCAACTCAAGCTCCCGCTACTGTTCCTCCTCCTGATCCCCGAGCAAACGTTGAGAACGACAATAATCAAGAGGACCATGCTGAGTAGTGGTGGAGATGTTGTCACATAGTGCCCCGACGTTTTGGCTGCACCTCTTCTGCGGCGGGACTTGCTTTGAGCTAGAGTTATCATCAGGTTGGCTGGACCTTATTGATTCATGATGTTGTCAACGGTCATTGGTAATGTCAAATACTAGAAATATTTAGGCAGACATGGTGCAATAGGAATTTCCTCAGCCAGCTTGATCCTCAAAGGAAATCATTTGAAGTAGCTGGCTAGCATCCAAAACCGGAACTGTTATGCATCGAATATCACTACTAAGCTAGAGGTAGCGAGTTCGTCAAAAGCAGGAACCTGAGGACAGTGATGAAGAAACTGTTCCCCAATTTTGAAGGCAACGCATTGTGGGGCAACGACCAATGAAGCAAGTAGTCTAGAGGATGGCTATACTTTTTCCGAAATGATAAATCGGCTGGAACGTTACATTTAGCTAGCTCGCTTCCCATCTCGTTTCCTTGGGAATTGGTTTCCCAGCACATCGATGTTCATGCCCAATCAATATTTCACACCCATTGACAACTTGCAAAACACTGGTAATAACGGTTCGGTCCGCTTCGGGCTGCCCCCGATACAGATATTCTTGATCGGCGGTAAAGACCACGACCGCTGCCATTCCACCCGCCAGTATTTGAATGCTGTCAATGCTGACCATGGTCATGCTAATACCACTCACATCTTCACTCAATAAATGCGCCAATCCTTCCTTGCCAATGGGATTTCCAGTACTGCGAATCCACAATATGTCGTCGGTAAAGTATTGTTGAAAGAAGGATTCCCAGCAAGCCTTGCTATTTTTGCCGTGTCGAAAGATGGAATCGTAGTCTTCGTAGTAATCAAACATGTGCGATCGGATGCGATCTTCGGTGAGCAGCATCGAACTACTGCTGCCGTTCGACGATCCCTTGGTTGGTTCGGATGCACAAGTCATGCGATCATCCTCTTCTTCTTCTTCCAGTGTGGTGATACCCTCCCCCACCATGGCGGGTTTGCTCTTCCAATCGTCACCGTCGTCGTCGTCATCATCGTCATCTTCGACGGCAAAGGACACACTGCCACTCTTTTGACTGGACGTGCTTTTTTGTTTCTCTCCTCCACTCGTCGAGTTTCGACGACCGGGTTCTCCGGAACTCCATCGTTCCATACTACTCGTCGTGGCTTTCATGTCGGTGGTTTCCGTGAGACCACTGGTTCGACTGTTATCCATGTCGACTCGCATCAAGGAGAAGGAACTGTCCAGGGGATTATCATCATCATCATTGCGATGGAGTCTGGGTCGAGTGTTGGTGGTGGTCAGGACGACGTCACCACTACTACTATGAATCCGTTGATTCGAAGTAACATGGGTAGCACTGCTACTGCTGTGAGTATTGTCGGCAATGTGAGAATCCACGTCGTGGGTAATGGAACTCCGGTGAGGATTGGTATTCGACGTGACTTGTGTGGCACAATCGCTGCTGCAGCTGCTGTCGCCGTCATCGTCGTCGTCGTTTTCCGCATCACAGCAGTGGTCGTCCAGGTCCATGATAATCACGGCTTCTGTTTCTTCCGGCTGTTCCCTCTTGTGATCTACTGCGGTTGCTTCTTCTTCCACTCCTCCCAGAGACGGTCGCCGTTGAGGACGACGAAGTGTCGTGTGGCTCCTGCAGGAGATGCAGGCACTGGCCGTGCTGCTAGCAATCGAAGATGCTACTGATGCTGTCCCGACCATGGCGAATGACGAATCCAATCTGTTTACTGCTGTTGTCTTGGGGTGATAATAAGAAGGATTCGACACGAGGGAGAGGCAGTAGATTATAGAAAGCGGCCAAGGGGCGAATAAGAAGAGACCAGAGACAGACGAGCGTCGGGTTATTCGAAATCGCAAGAGAACCTTCAGCTGCCAAGCTTGTTTGACTGCTACATGAGCTGCTACCATACCGACGTTGCGAACCACCACCACCAAGAAACGAGCTACTAATACTAGCTCTAGCTAGCTAGTAGTACCAGTAAACAGCCAAGCAGCCGAGACAACAAGAACCTACCGTATTCGGAAAGTCTTGAAGCCTCTTGCTTGTGCCCCTGCCAGGTTTCCCAGGCCTTCTTGCTGTACCAGACATTGGATAAAGATGTCTTCCTGTCAACCCTTAACTCCTAACACTCTGACGGTACACGTACTTTAATTCATTTCACCATAATTGACAAACAGTTACTGGTGGTGACCGTGAGGTGCATTTCTTAAGCCTTTGGAAGCTGTTGACCACTTGGAGTTCATGATTTTCACGACTGGGTGGCAGTAAGAGACAGTAAGAGCTCAGTAAGAATGGCTCTGGTACTGTGCCAACCTGGTACCAAAGTTCGAAGTACAAAAGTCAAGTCAGTGTTGGAATACATCTACGAGAATGCAACGTCAGTGGTCAAAAGAGCAGAAGCGAAGCAGGCAAACTTCCAATCAAGATCGTCCTCGAAGACTTGACTCTGTGCTGAGGAGTGAGGGTACCGCTACACTGCTGGTGAAGGGCTCAAGGTTTGGGGACTTGTGAATATGCAGGTACGGCACGTAGTCGCAGCAGTTCATGTAATGCATGGCTATCCTCTATCCTCACCAACTGCCTCACAGTAGTTATGCTGCAGCGTTGTATGGCGACACAGCTCGTTGCCAATCCCAGCAGTGGCTATGAACAATAGTGTCGATTGGGTCGCCCTGTCCGGCAAGCAAAACTGAGCCCGGTTGTCTGGCGTCATGTGCTTGTAGTAATCTAGCTACCTAGCTGGCTAGATAGCTGCTGGGATCTCGCTAGGATGGGAATAAAGATTGAGGAGTCAAGGAGACCCCCCATGCACGAGAACCTGTGGTACCCAATAGTCTCTTAAATAATGACGACATCTTTCTGGCTTCTGACTTCTGACCACTGAATGACGGTCAATGGTCCAGGTCCAGCCTAGCTGTACCGGTACATGTACTAGCTAGCTAGCAGGTTAGAGCTCAGGTTAGCTACTAGCCGAGAAACACCACCATGCACGCATCCACCCTCTTTTTTCACCCGGTGGACACATGGGACATGGGGGAGCGGAGAAATCATTGATCACTGATCACCAGCAAGTGATTGATGAATCATCGTTCCAAAGACTTAGTGTACAGTGGTTGGGTCCTCTTGACCATATATATTATTATCAATTAAGATAGTCTACTAGCACTTAGTAGAGTGCTTTTACGCTTTTCATGAACTGGGATCGTACGCGTGATCATTGCACCGGCAGCATCAAGACCCCCATTGCCTTCTTCAAGCTTCAAGCACCTCATCCTATGCTGTGCATGCGATAAGGTATAAGGTAGTTACCGTAATGTGGTTGTTGGACGTAGTGGCTACCTTTACAGCCACGCAGCTCAATTAATTTGACTCTTGCCCGACCACAAGCAAACTCCTCGAGTCGAGTCGAGTCGAGTCCTCGACATGTTCCAGGTACTTTACACTCCAAACTCGAATATAAGAAGCTCCAAGCGAGCCCTGAGCTTTTAGAAGAATCCAAGAAAGCTTCCCAGTATTGAGACCTCAAAGCATAAGAAATACAACTAGTAGTCTAACACCATGAAAATGCTTCAAACTTGTGTCAATCTGCAAAAATTTTCTGCCTCATGGCAGAGGCAGTGATCACCATATATATTGTTGGACCAAAAGGCCCAGGTGCACTGGGTGTATCCAAGTACTGCCCTGCTTGACATAGAAGCATAGTAAGAAAGTCTTTTATGCTGAAATTGGCTTGTTTTGTTAGTTAGAAACAATCTGAGGGTCCAAAGGTGCAGCATGGTAAGAAATCCCAGGGCCGCACTGAATTTAGAGCTTTCTTATAAATAAGTTTGGAGGTTTCTTATAAGTAAGTTTGGAGTGTACCCCAGAGTATACGGTACCGGCAGATGTACCATGTACCGGCATCGAGCGATGCGAATGGGGTTCGTACAGTCGTCCAAAATAATAGTATCAGTATAGTAAAGGTTTTGTTTAAGACAAGTAGAAACTGTACCAGCGCCACGTGCCAAAACCACTGTAGCGGTAGTGGACCAGAAAGTCTCACGCTCTTTTTAGCCCTTTTTTGGGACCAAAACCGAGTTTAACCGGTACATTAATTCCTTGCAAAAAATAAGCACAAGCCAAGCCAGAAGCCGACAGCCACAGCGATACCGGCACGAGTACTATCCCTTAGTCAGAGTTGGCCCAAACTTCCCGATCTTCAGAGGTCACTCATGCAACCCAAAGTATGGTTTAACACTGATGTGAGGCGCTGAATCGACGCATCATACTAAGGAACAATGGTTGTACTAGTATGGGTTAACGGTGGCTAGCTAGCTTAGAATCAGGTGGTTGGGGCGATTTTCTGCCACCCATTTCGCAGAGTTGCTGACAATGCAAAACGGCGACAGTGATTCCGTCTTCAGTTTTAACAGCCTACACCCACCAAGAGACCATGTTCGCTCCTCGATAGACACTAGCTAGTAGAAGTGATTGACAGTCTCATATCAGTGCCGAAGTGGCTTCTAGTCGTCTCCAGCGTCCATCGAAAGTTGTTGTTCGTTTTCACGCGATACAACACGGCAGAAACTATTACTCAAGTTAAGACAACAAGAAGCCGTCTACTGTCTACCCATTACATCTACAACAGATTACCAGCAGTGGTTGACTGTGGAAAAGCCATATTGACGAGTCTGATTTTCAGAGAACAATTGGGTCATTCCCATCATCGCGACGGAGCCAGCTACTTTGGGGGACCAGATCTCAGTTGATATCAGGTCTTGGACGGTATGTGCAGGCAATGGTGTTGTTTGGATTGTCATTGTCTCTCTTAGTTGTTGTGATAGTTTCATTAATGTGTTATTGATGTTGTTACTTGAGCTGCAGTTTGGGCCAAATTTGGCCCCATCATAACTCCAACTATAAGGGATAGCCAGATAGAAGCAACCCTTTTCACAGCAACACAATGAACAAGGAGACAGGAACCCAACAAACAATGCCATTGCCTGAAACAAAGCAACCCGAGCACGAACAGGGCCCAGGTGCGACCATGACCAAGGATATCGACGTCGCAAAAGCTAAAGATACAGAGGAAGAAACGGAAGAAGATACTTTCGACGTGGAAAACAACTATGGGTTTCCCTATTCAGAGATCATGCCGTTGCCCCCGCTAGAGATGCCTCGATCCGCCACTATTCCAGGCGCCGTGGCCGTCAACGGCGTTGGAGGAAGATCATTTATGAGCAATAACTGGGTGCTCGCAGAAGAGGGTTGGAACAATTCCCCAGTCCCTGCGTTGGGCGTCCCCCAACAAAGCCCGCGAGTATCTGCTGGGAATACCAGTACTGGATTGGTGGAGGCGCGACGAGTTTGTGACACAAGGGAGGGTCTGCCTCGTGCCACAGAAGTCAGAGCTACCGACACTGAACCGAAGCCTCGCTGCCGACTAGACCCGAGAAACGTTTGTGCTTTTTTTGTTTTGACAATCTCGGCACTAGCACTTGGATTGAGTTTCGGCCTTGGACGAACTGAGGACCCCTCTCCGGGGCACGCTCTACATGTATCTAGCATTGACTCGAGTACAAATACAACCAGTTTACTCTTGTCCCTGGCCCCATCTGCAGCTCCCACCGAACCACTGGATAATCTGCGACAGGAACTACCCAACTACACCCTGGCAGCATTAGAAACGTTCGGAACTCCACAGTGGCTAGCTATGGACTGGCTCGGTCGCCATCCAGATATATACACAATGGAAGACTGGCGCAAGAAGCAACTGTTTGCCCTTGGCACCATCTTCCATTCCTTGGGAGGACCCCAGTGGAAAGAAGAAGCAAAAAGAGATTGGATGCTAAATGATCTTGATGAATGTTATTGGTTTTCTTCCAAATTTACAGCACACTCGGAAGATGTTGTAGAGGGACTCTCAGCCATCGAGTATGATGAACATCCAGATCCCTGCAATCAAAATGGCGAGTTTGTTGCTCTCTACCTTGCTAGGGTCGATGCTTCTGGCAGCCTTCCACCAGAGGTTGAGCTCTTGCCCAGCCTTGCCGTCATTGTCCTAGCTCGCCTTACAAACGATCCACCACGAGACATCTCGGAAGTCTTACCCACTCAATTGCGAAATCTACAACATTTGGAGGCATTGCAAGTTGGACCTACAAATAGCATTGGCGCTTTTCCCAGTCTATTGCTGGATATAAAAAGCCTGAAATACCTGGCTGTCATCGAGATGTCCCTGTCGGGCACCATTCCAACAGGCATTGGCAGTTTGTCTTCACTTGAGCTCCTTCGCATCTACGGCTGCAACCTGACTGGTACAATTGCTACGGAATTTGGTTTGTTGTCAAACTTGAAACAGTTGCATCTATACAACAATCTTCTGTCTGGAACTCTGCCGACTGAATTGGTACAAGTATCCTCTCTCGAGAGGATAGTTGTCCATTTAAATCGCCTGACAGGAACCATCCAGACTGAAATCTTCTCACTACCAAACTTGGAGGAGGTTTCCATTGATTCCAATTCTTTCACGGGCACGATCCCGAGTGAAATAGGCAAGGCGTCCTTACTCCAAATCGCAGGCCTTCAATTGAATTCTCTAACTGGGACGGTGCCAACGGAAGTTTTCTCTTTACCGTACCTTGGTCTGATAGGACTAGCTGCCAATCCAATTACAGGAGTTCTTCCATCAGAGGTTGGTATGTTGCCGCATGTCCAAGGAATGGACTTTAGTTACACTGGCCTGACCGGAAGCATCCCTAGCGAATTGGGCCTTGCCAAGACATTGGCAGGTCTATCTCTCGAAGGCAGCGGATTTACAGGTTCAATCCCTCCAGAACTCTTTGGCTTGAGCAACCTCAATGTCCTTGCACTGGGCCGAACTGGTCTCACTGGATCCTTTCCTACAGATTTTGGAAAGTTACCCTACTTTCAAGGCCTTTACCTAATGGGCACTCGACTTTCTGGCAGTATCCCTTCAGAGTTGGGTCAGCTGCCATACCTTGGCGTATTGGATTTGTCCAACATGCCCTTGCTGACGGGTTCCATCCCCCAAGAGCTATCCAGTTTGAACTTTGATGTAGTGAAACTTGGTGGAAGCACCCAACTGACCGGTACCGTTCCGGAACAGTTCTGCAGTATTGGTGCTGAATCTTGTCCATTGAGCGGTCAAAAGTATTGGTGGCTGGAGTATCGTATTGATACCACGGAATGCATCCTGGAGTTTGGTTGCAGCGATACGCTTTGTGGGTGTGACTGTGACTGCCCAGCGACTGCAGTAAATGGAACCATATGAGTGCCTTTCGCTGCGTCGGAGACGATTGGAGGAAATAGACGAGTCACCTTTGTGACGTTTGCGTTGGCTGCTTGTTTCGCAAAACAGAGCACTGCCTCGATGGTGTTCGCATGGGGCTCTTTCGCTTTTGTTGGAGCAGCTTCTTGCGTTGGTTCGTTCTTTTTTTCTTCCGACTCGACTCAACGTTTGCTCTTGCGTCGGCATCCGCAGCAAAAGCTTGTTGTACCTCGGCCTGTTACAAGGGTTCTTGAGAATCGCAGATCCTTAAAATACTTAGCTCCACCAATGCCAGCAACCAATGCCAGCCACACCTTCCATCCTTTCTGGCGACCTTTATTTGCATTGCCGCCATTATTAAGCATCCGAACCAGCAATGGAAGAACATCGTTTCCACAGGATCAGTGCGTCCCGCGGAGTTGAAATTGCTCTGTATGTCGATGCCCGTTTCAATGCATTCTTCAACAACAAGACGGGAACAATGGACAGATATGACAGCGAGGATCTGTTGACGAACAGTTCTTCGATGTACTCATCGCTGCACTAAGCGACATGATCGGTTAAAGCCTTGATAATCAAAACAGCCACGGCGTTTTCTCGGAGATTATCCAACCAGCAGTCAGGTAAGGACATTGGCCGCTGTTCTTGGGTCCGGGCAGCTGGTAGATTCAACTCTAACGGCCATAAACGCTGTCAGGTTGGCAAATCTTTCTTTTTTTTCAAGGGCAAGGATAATATATTCTCTGCCCTTCTCGCAGCGGCGTACCTCGCATCAACACTATGGTTGCTCAGAGCCTTCTGCTCGAACTCAACGTGTATTCCCATGCAGTATTACACCAATGAACAACGAGCGTTGTAAAATCGCCATCTAGGTGGTGCAAGTCCAAAGAAACAATTTCTGCATCAAATCTCAGTGTGCCAGAGATGCATACATGTACTCGTTCATGATGGGTAAAAAGGGTATCCATAGAATTCTTCCAAGAAAGTTGAGAGAGCCATGCCATTACAGGTACATAGAACCATTAGAGGTACCGGTACGTGTTGAGACAATGAGGGCTACCGCGAACAACCAAGCCAGCTGAAGTCACGTGCTGAGCTTCGCTGGAGAGTATCTCTCCCACGGGCCCTGATATGATAGGAAGCGACGCTTTGACGGAAGCCCAAAGTGCTATTGACTTTTTCTCTGGTTCCTTCTCAACGGCCGGCCAGGAACTCTTTGGACTTGGCCCCTGATGGTGAGCTGGCTTCTGTGATTCTGTCCATTGAGCCTGCTGTCCTCTGACGATTGCAAGACCCGGCAAGTAAACCTTAGTAAATTTGGATCAATCAATTTCAATAACATAAGAGTCGTCAGGAATGGGCCTCTTCTTTCTGCTTCTCCTGAACTCTCGTCTTTGAGTTTGCTGCCCCGTTGTATTTGCAGTAGCAGCCGTAGTCAATGCAGATCCCTTTGCTGGGCTGGTAGTAGTAGGACTGCTCTTGTTAGTCGGAGCAGTGGGTGCTAGAGCATCACCCTCGAGTCGCCGTTTCCATTTCGTTCTGTCAAAGGGGTCCCAAAAGAGCTCCTCGTCATCGCTACTGTCGGACTGCAGCAATGCCAGCCTTTCCTTGGACGACAGCGATGGGCGATGACTACCAGTACTGCCTGGCGCACTTGGCGGCTGGTAAAGTTCATCATTGCTAATGTCGTCGCTGCTGTCGGACTCTAGCAAATTTGGCCTCTTCACCGCAGATTGGGGGTTGTCTACCAGTATCGGTCTCTTCTTTCTCTCCCCATTGAGCTGGCTGTCGTCATTGCTACTGCTGTCGGAGTTTGAATTTGGTAGCGGTCTCCTCCGGGTTGACGCCGGTGTGGAGACAGTAGCACTACCGGTATCAAAGAGACGCCGCGGTCGTTTCTTTCTATGCTGGTTGTCATAGTCATCGTCGTCGTCATCATCATAATTTCGTCTCTTTGGAGTAGTGGTAGCTTTGGCGCGCGATGGTGGAGTCACGACTGCTACCTTGGGTGTTGCAAACACTTGAAGTATCCTTTCCGCCAAGACCTTTCCGACCAGTTCCAAGCTGGCCAGTTCCTTGACCGCTTGTTTGACGGCTGTCGTAGCCAGAAAGTCGGTCAAGTTGTCCCGCTTGGGAAATCGGTTCATTATCACTTGGGCTTTGTTATCTCCCATTTTGTCCACCCGTCTCAAGGCGAGATAGTATTGAAACTGAGGGTCGTCCAGTGCACTTTGGATTGATTGGTTGAGTTGGTCGATAGTGCCAACATTGGTGGGGGCAAAGGGTGGTCCTTCTGGTTGCTTTTGGTTGCAGCCACGTCGTCTTCTCATCTGATTCCGCATGTGCTCGTGTTGCTCTAATAAGAATTGCAGTGTACCGGATACATTCTTGGTACGCCGCAATTCCACGGAGGATGGATTATTGTTGTTGTTCTGCTGCTGCTTCTTGAATTGGTTCAAGAAATGCACGGCGGCTTTTTTGCAGTGGTCGGGCAGAAACTTGGAGGCGTGATGTTCGACCAGCAACCACTTGTGTGGAAGAGTAGTGGCTTGTAGCTTTTTGATTTGAATCTCCATGCGATTCAGGGGTGCAAAGCGGTTGTTCTTTTTCCCGGTCAGCGTTGACACCAGATCCGAAAAGCTCTTGCGTTCAATGACAGTATCGAGCACTCGTTCTTCGCCTGTAATGGTATGACGAGCGACCCATAGATAGTCTCCTGCCAATAGTCGTCGGCTCTCGCAATGAGGGATCCCCGTATCACTACTACACGAGTATTTGGTAAAGTGCTGATTGACATGATCCACGAGATCTTGGCGTGGCGCGAATTTGGTGGTGGGTTGACAACGCTCATTGCTATCTACCAACAGAACAACATGCCAATCTCCTCCCTTGATGCCTGACTTCTTCTTTGGATCCTCTACATCATCATCAGCAGCAACAGTAGTGCTCATCGTGATGCCATGGAAGTGCCCAGCGTCCCTTTCGTTGGCTTTTGCTTGAGATTTCAGATCGCTGAAACCAGCTTCACCACAGGAAACGGCAAGATTGTGCAACAGAGTTGGGGTTACGATCGGTTCACTTCCAAAGCATCGTGGGCATCTCCCGTCCCTACTCTTGGCACTCGGGCGCTTGGGCAACCCTTCTGTACGATGAAGCGAATCGAATCCGTTGGGTCACGTCGATGTCTCCCCTTTGCTCAATAGTTGCGTGGTATCGTACTCAGCCCATGTACATGTACAGTACTGACTGAATCCTAGCTAGCCTCCAGACCGGAATCGAATACGACGAAAAGGCTGTCTTTGGCCACTTTGAAGGGGGGGCAGGACGAAATACAGAAGCCAATTCCTTCTATGGTGGCGGTCTTGTCCATGTCGGTAAGTTGCAAAGAGTAGTTCGGGTTAGAGTGGACTATGTTGTATTGGCGAAGCAAAGAATAGCTGCATGTGGCTTTCACTTCCGCATACTTGACATTCGTGCTAACTTTGGCACAGTAAGAGTACTTGTAAACCACATTTCCATTATTCACCTTTTAATCTTAGTGTAAACCAGCTGCATTTGAATGCTCTGGTGCTTCTCTTGATGATGGCAACAGTATCCATGTACAAAGATGGATACACCATTAACGAACGAGAATGAGTCTGATACAGCCTGGCAGCCATCTCAGTTTGGGCAGCACGTCCAGGCACAACACCGAGCTAATGATCACTGCCTAGAATGCTCCAGCCTCGGCGAGCTCCAAATCTCCAGCAGCCATGACATCATAGACGCAATGATCCTTTTGGTCTCCCCAGTGTTCGCAGACCTTCTCCGCAGCCGTCTGGGCAATGTATTCACCAAGACGACGACCCACCTGTTTCATACTGGGCATATTGCAGGTGACCGGGTGCTGTGGGTGCCTGTTCTTGCTTTGGAAGAGCTTGGGCTCACTTTCCAGAACCTGCCATTCGTTTCCAAAGGCATTAGCATCTGTCAGGGCAGTTCCATTGCGGGCAAGCCACTTGCCAGTCTTGTAGTCTCCCAAAAGACCCTTGCTATTTTCATACTCTAAAGGAGTGGCACCAACTGTCTTGATGCTGAGAAGGTCCTTGAAGGATTGGAGGACAATCTGCTTTCCCCTGCCAAGCTCAATCACAAACATGTCCTGCTTGGAGCTCTTCTTCTCGTGCTTGATGGAGTATTTGTCAATCTTGTCCAGCTCAGCATTGGAGATTCCATTCACCATGTAACCACCATATTCACCGACCTCCAAAGTGTCCTCTCCAATGCGGACAGCGGCAGACTCAATGTAAGAATACTGGTTGCGCGCCTTTGTCCTAATGTGGATGTCCAATCCAGTTCCCTCATCAAACTCAGGGCTGCTGATAAAGATCAAGTCGCACTCCCCATGGAAGTCATACCACTCATTCATCCATGTCTAATTACAAATTCTGACTCTGTATGGCCCAAATGGAAACTACCTTGCATATAATGATGATGACGGTGGTGATCCTGGCTCAAGCGCCCCTTTTGACTCCTACTTGACCTACACTTTCAATACTCCTGGCACATACACTGTTGCTGTGGGTGAATGTTGCCGTTCTCCTCATCTCATCAACAAATTGGATTCCAAATGGTGCCACCTACAAGTTGCACATCTCCTTGGGTTATTCAGAAGCACAGCTTCGAGCGGCAAAGGGAATAACAGACCCACCCCAGGAAGAGCAGCCTGGAGAAGCGTATGGCATGGGTGACCCACACTTCAAGGTATGACTCAGCAAGCCACAATCAGCCCAGTTGATGAATTTTATTTGGTTGGAATAACCAAGTGTTCCGTTTTG